AGTTTTAAAGGATTTAACAAGTTGTTCTAGTATCTCAGGTGTCTCAGAAGCTGAAAATGCTTGTGGTTCAAACAACGTTGTTAACAAATGTCGTAGCTGTCAATATTGCCATTTGGTTACATCTGATAGATGATAATTATCTCTTAACACAGTATATGTTAAAAAATCATCTTCATCATCTAACAGTTGCTCCAAAGTTAATAACCTTGCTTCCATCCAATTTTTCCATATCACCATTATTTTCCCAATTTTTAAAGTTGGGTTCTCCCATAAAATCAATTTAGCATGGGACTATGAAACTGGATCCTTGAGCAAAAAGGAGATCTCCAAGGTTTATTCTCTTACCTGGCTTACATTGGAACTTGAAGAAAAATCACCATATAGATTTTTTTTAATATCACTAGCATCCACTGGGCCAGTTCTTGGGGATAGCTCAACTGCTGAAAGAAAGGATGGTCTGGGAACTGTTGGCTTATCCAGATTTGCCTCCATTCTGTTAGAACACAAAAAAGAAATGGAGGGCAGTTTGAATACCCAATGCACTGAAGGGTTGACAATTACAGCACAGATTTTGGTCATATAATATGTATTTTAGAGGCTACTTTACTACAAGATGCTTTGCCCTAGCCAGAAATTCCCTTGCAGATTGTAGAAAGCAAAGGGGTCAAGTTTTGATTGCAAGTCCCCAATCTCCAGGACCTTCAAAAGAGCTGGTAAACACCTGCCTCAGATCCTGGAGATGCTAACTATCACTATTAACAATACCAGCTAGATAAACCATTGGCCCAAAACAGTTTTAATAAACTGAATTATGAACATGGTGAACAATTGGGCAAAGCTATAACAGATGGTTGTTATGGTTGTCCAAATAGAGTTGTAGAGAGCCATAGAAATAGCCTTGGAAAAGCTATGCAGAAATGATTACTGAAGCAAAGCATGCTTTAAGCCCAAGAAACAGAGAAAGAAGCTCAAATGGGCTCTGCCCTAATTCTCTGGGGTATAAGAAAGAGGGAAGAGAAAACACAGACAGGCATTCAAGATTCTGTTGAATGCCTGTATCAATAAAATAGATTCCAGTCAGTCTTGTGGAGTCTGTTTCCTGACTTTGCCTTCTTTGAAAGGCTGAGAATAGTCAAGGAAATCTTCCATCCCTCAGAAATTTCAGATTCTTCAGTGGGATCAGCAATTTCTCTCTCTTCTCTCTCCTGCCCTGGCCACGTTTTGTGCTGAAATTTCAGTTTGCAGAAACTGAAAGCAAAAGTCTTCCAAGTTGGAGAAAAGTCCACACCCCCATTTATCCCTCCACCAAATCACTGGCAAAGCAAAGAGGAATATAACTATAACAACAACTTATTAAACTTGTATGCCGCCCCACTCTGAACAACTCTGGACATAACAGATATGCAGGACCTTTCCCCACAAACAAGATGTTGTAGAAAAGGACCCACAAAGGCAGAAAATATAAAATACAGAGATTTAATATGACTTCTAGCTTTGGCTGTGAGTGTGGGGGAACCATTAATACTGCCAAACTAGTGTTTTCCATCACAGTTATATTAAATTGGACTACAGGTACACACTTTGTGTATGACTGCTTGGGAAATCCAACACCATCTGTTAGCTGGACACAAAATAAAATAATTCAAAGCACCCTAGAATGTGAGGTACTGTCATCCCAGCCCAACTTAAAACACCAAGAACAATCACTTTTGGCTGCATGCTGCAGTTACAACGGAGCACAATGTTTCAACAAAGGCGCCCTGCATCTTCGCTTCACTTGCTGTAAAAAATGAACAAAAACGTTCATCAGTTCTAACGTGCAGTTTATTTTATGTGCACTGATTTTATTTAGATACCTTGTTTTCTAAATCTGACCTAGCGAGAACTACCTAAATCAGTGTTGTCCAAACTTGGCCACTTTAAGATGAGTGGACTTCAACTCCCAGAATTCCCCAGCCAG